CAATGATCCATTCTTCATTAAGTAATGAGTCATTTAGTTTGCAGCTGTTTACATATTTTTTGTCTTACTTTTGTTGTTGAGTTCTACTTTTACTACATTGTGATCAGATAGTATGCATGATAAAATTTCTATTTTCTTATATTTGCTGAGACTTGCTTTGTGCCCTAGGATATGATCTATTTTGGAGAAGGTTCCATGGGCTGCTGAGAAGAATGTATATTGTGTAGAATTTGGATGAAATGTTCTGTAGACATCAAGTAGGTCCATTTGATCTATTGTATATTTTAGATCTTGGATTTCTTTATTGATTTTTTGTTTGGATGACCTATCTATTGATGATAATGGGGTGTTAAAGTCTCCCACAACCACTGTGTTGGCGTTTATATATGCTTTTAGGTCATTCAGGGTTTGTTTCATGAAATTGGTGCGTTGACATTGGGTGGATACAGGTTGATAATTATTATTTCCTTTTGGTCTATTTCCCCTTTTATTAATATGGAATGTCCTTTTTTATCTCATTTGATCAATGTAGGTTTGAAGTCTACTTTGTCAGAGATAAGTATTTTTACTCCTGCCTGTTTTCGGGGACATTGGCTTGGTAAATCTTCTTCCAGCCTTATATCCTTAGCCTATGCTTATTTCTGTCAGTGAGATGGGTCTCCTGTAAGCAACAAATTGTTGGATCTTCCTTTTTAATCCATTTCATCAAGCAGTGCCTTTTGATGGTTGAATTAAGTCTGTTAACATTAAGTGTTAGTACTGATAGGTATGTGGTGATTCCTGTCATTTAGTTGTCTTAGTTGTTTGAAGGTGTGATTGTGTGTACCTAAGTTGAGGTTACTCTCTACTTTCTTGCTTTTTCTTTTCCTGTGGTTTTCTGCTGCCTGTCTTTTCATGGTTAAGTTGGGTGTCACTTTCTGTGTGCAGAATCCCTTGAAGAATCCTTTGTAGTAGTGGCTTTGTGGTCACATATTGTTTTAGTTTCTGTTTATCATGGAGGACTTTTATTGCTCCATCTATTCTGAATGATAGTTTTGCTGGGTAGAGTATCCTGGGGTTGAAGTTATTTTTATTCAGTTCCTAGAAGATCTCACCCCATGCTCTTCTTGCTTTTAATGTTTCTGTTGAGAAGTCTGCTGTGATTTTGATGGGTTTACTTTTGTATGTTACTTGTTTTTTCTCTCTTACAGCCTTCAATATTCTTTCCTTAATTTTTGAACTTGTTGTTTTAATAATGATATGTCATTGAGTAGTTCTATTTTGATCTGGTCTGTTTGGTGTCCTGGAGGCCTCTTGCATCTGGATGGGAATATCTTTCTCTAGATTTTGGAAATTTTCCGTTATAATATTGTTAAATATATTACAGATTCCCTTCGCTTGCACCTCTTCTTCTTCGATACCCATGATTCTCAAATTTGGTCTCTTGATGGACTCAGTGAGTTCTTGCATTTTCTTTTCACAGGTCTTGAGCTGTTTAATTAATAGTTCTTCAGTTTTTCCTTTAATTACCATTTCCTCTTCAAGTTCTGAGATTCTGTCTTCTGTTTGTTCTATTCTGCTGTATTGGCTTTCTGTTTTGTTTTGCAGTTCTGTTTCGTTCTTTTTTCTGAGGTTTTCCATACCCTGGATATTTTCCTCTTTAATGTTCTGTATTTTTGTCCTGAGTTCATTTATCTGTTTATTCATTGTGTTCTCTCTTTCAGTTTGGTGTTTATACAGTGCTTCTATGGTTTCCTTTATTTCTTCTTTTGGTTTTTTAAATTCTCTATTTTTGTTGTCTTGGAATTTCTTGAGTGTCTCCTGCACATTTTGGTTGACCCTATCCAGTATCATCTCTATAAAATTCTCGTTGAGTACCTGTAGTATGTCTTCTTTTAAATTATTCTTGTGGGCTTCATGGGTCCTTTGGCATAGTTTATCTTCATTTTGTTGGAGTCTGGATCTGAGTACCTGTTTTCTTCATTCCCCTCTGGTTCCTGTACTAATTTTTTTCTGTGGGGAAACTGGTTTCCCTGTGTTTTCTTTCATCCCGTCATTGTCTTTGGTGTTGTTACTGTCCCTGTACTGTGTGCAATTAAGTATTTTCTATCTTGTAATAATAACAATGGTAATATTTAGAATGGAAGGGTGAGCTGAGATGGAAAGCACAAAGTTAAGGAAATGGGAAAAACAAATACAAAGACTGGAGGGAGAAAACAGAACAAGGTATCAGACAAGAAGGTTTCAAAGGTATAAACAGGGAGCTTTAGTGGCTTTAGTGTACTAATCGACAGTAAGCTGAACAGACATTAGAGAGAAACAGAAAGGATTGAAAATCAAAAGTAAAAAAATAAAGGTACAAATAAAAATAAAAAATAAGGAAATGAAAGAAAAATCTATTTATAAAAATGTATTAAAATAAAATGAAAAATAGAAAATTTAAAAAAAAGAAAAAAACCAAAAAACCAAAAAACCCTCAAAGTTCAAATGCAATGAAGTTTCAGTTTTAATAATTTGGGTGTCCGTCTCAGTCTCCAATCCTGCAGATGGTGCCTCAGATGTTGTTCTGTCGTTGTCTCATCAAAGGGGACACATAAAGTAGAACAAAACTGCACACACATGCCCCACCAAAAAAACCCACCAAGTGTCCAAGTTCAAATGCAATACAGTTTCAGTAAGTTTTTCAGCTTGCAGGTGTAATTTGGTTGTTCTCTTATCAAAGGTAGGGAGACAAAGGAAAAAAAGAAGAGTCTGGAGACAGTTCTGAGAATGGTATCTGCAACTGTGGCTTGCCTGACTGCTGCTGTCAGCCTGCTGTTGCTGGAGGCAATATTTATGCAGATCTCAGGGGTGAGCTTAGCACTCACCTGGCCCTGCAGTCTTTGTTTGCTCAGATTTCTCCTGTGCGGGAGCCTCTGCTACAAGCTTTCCCCTTTCCAAGCACTGGGAAAGATGACATTGCACCCACATTCTCAGGCCTGCATGTTTATTTACAGTTCATGTGGGAGGTGGGTCTTCCCTCCTTTCCTGTGGAGTTTTCCTCCCTCCGCCACTCTCACAAGCTTTCCCGCTCCTGGTTTCTGGGCAAGTGCCCCTGCTCCCACCAGAGCCTCTTCGGCCCACCCGGCTTGTTTATTTACAGTCCCAGGAAAGATTCCCTTCCCCCAATCTTCGGCACTCAGTGTGCGCCACCCTCTTTCCTGCGTGTCTTATTTGTTGTTATTGCTTATTATCAGTTTCTCTTTTTTCCCTGGGTGAAGGTCAGTCTGTCCGGGGGCTATGCTGCTCTGGCCCAGGCTTGTCTGTGGGAGTACCGTGGTACCACAAATTCACCTGGTCCGTGTCTTCCCAACCCGTCTGGGTGCCGGCGACTGGTGGCCTGGGGGCCCTCCTGGTTTCTCTGTTTAATGTGAAGTGGAGATTCTCTGCGCCGGTTGGAGGTGTGGAGGGGTGAAAGTTATGCCTCTTCTCAGAGATTATGCCTGCAAAATGTGTCTCTAGCATCTCTCCAAGATTTCACTATAGGAGGCTCGCTTTCTGCTTCCTCCCTCTAGCCGCCATCTTGGAATCTCCCACCACATCCCATTAAAATAGCTATCATCAAAAACACCACCACCAACAGGTGGTGGTGAGGATGTGGGTTAAAAGGATCCTTCATACACTGATGGTGGGAATGCAAGCTTGTGCTACCACTCTGGAAAACAATATGGAGGCTTCTTAAAAAACTATCCACAGATCTGCCATATAATCCAGCAATCCCACTCCTGGGGATATACCCAAAGGAATGAGTCACAGGTTACTCCAGAGGCACCTACACACCCATGTTCACAACAGCCAACTTATGGAAACAGTCAAGATGCCCCACTACTGATGAATGGACTAAGAGAATGTGATATTTATACACAATGGAGTTTTACTCATCCATGAAGAATCGAATCTTATTCTCAAGCAAATGGATGGAACTTGAGAACATCATCCTGAGCAAGGTTAGCCAGACTCGAAAGACCAAAAATTGTATGTTCTCCCTCACATGCAGACTTTAGATCTAGGCTAAAGGCAGTAATGTTCTTTGACTTGGGTCACACACTAAGGGGAGAGCACATACAGGAGGAATGGGGATAGGTAGAAAGCCCAAAACTTGAAGGTGCTATATGTCCCCATTCAAGAGGAGATACTACACTAACCTTAAAGCAATAGAGGTCAATATGGGAAGGTGACCAGGAAGTAGTGAAGAGATCAGGTAGAGATGAATCAGTTTGGGTTGTAATACACTTGTGCATGGAAGCAATGCTAGGAATCTCTCTGTATAGCTATCCTTATCGCAACTCACAAAAACAGTTTGTCTTTCTTATTATTGCTTATGTTTTCTCTTCAACAAAATCAGAGAAAAGGGCTGAACAGGTTCTGCCTGGAAGCAAGGAGCACTTGGGGGCAAAGGGAGGTGGAGGAAGGCAGGGGGGGTGAAATGACCCAAACAAATGTATGCACATATGAATATATGAATAAAGAGAAAACAAAACTCAGCCCCCAAAGAATCAACATTCCAGTGAAGATATGGGCACATGAATTAAACAGGGAAGTCTCAAAGAAGAAGTACAAATGTCTAGTAAATACATGAAGAAGTGTTCAACTTTCCTGGTGATAAATGAGATGCAAATCAAAACTACACTTAGATTTCATCTCACCCTAGTTAGAATGACCATATTCAAGGGCAATAAAAACAAATGCTGGTGAAGATGTGGCAAAACAGGAACCTTTATACACTGTTGGCAGGAGTGCAAATTAGTACGACCACTGTGGATAGCAGTATGGAGTCTTCAAAAAAAAAAAGCTAAAGACAGAACTGCCATATGACCCAGTGATATCGCTCCTTGGCATATACCCAATGGAACATTAAGTCAGGATGAAACAGAAACACCTGTACACTGATGTTCATCATAGTATTATTCACAATAACCAAGCCATGGAAATAACCCAGGTGCCCTATAACAGATGAGTGGATCAAGAAATTGTGATACCAGCTTAGGCAGACACATCAGGATACAAGGTTGTTGGTTTTTAGACAAAACAGGAATCACATTCTCCATCATCTGTTAAATAAGAATTGGTCCAGGAAATATTGTCATCAAGATACCAGGATGCTCTGGAAACATAAAGCACTGCAGAAATATATGGAAGACTTGAGTAAGGAGTACCAAGCACTTGGTCAGTGTTTGCAGGATAGCTCTGTGAAAGAAGGAGACCAAAGGTCTTTAAAGCAGAGGCATGCTGAGTTGGCACCATTCACAGCCATTTACAAAGAAATTCAGGAGGCTGAACAAGCAGTTGAAGAATTAGAATCAATGTGTAAAAGTCTAAGTAAACAAGATGATAAGCACTTACAAGAACTTGTATTGGAAGAAAGGCAAATCATTGATCAAAAAATCAATACACTCTACAGTGAACTTTTCCAGAATCTAGTGCCAAAGGAGAAATATGATAAAAATAATGTTATTTTAGAGGTGACATCTGGAAGAACTACTGGAGGTGTTATCTGCCAGCAATTGACCCAAGAAATATTTGACATGTACCAGAATTATTCATGTTATAAACACTGGAAATTTGAACTGCTGAATTACACAGCAGCAGATTATGGTGGACTGCATCATGCAGCTGCCCTGATCTCTGGAGACAAGGTCTATAAGCATTTGAAGTATGAAGGTGGGGTTCACCGAAGTCAGTGGATCCCTGAGGTGGGCCTGTCCTCAAGGATGCAGGGTATCCACACAAGAACAATGTCAGTTATTGTCCTTCCTCAACCAGATGAGGTAGATGTGAAAGTGGACCCCAGAGATTTGTGAATAGATACATTTCGATCCAAAGGAGCAGGAGGACGGCATGTTAATACAACAGACAGTGCTGTCGGGCTTGTCCATATCCCCACAGGGCTGGTAGTAGAGTGTCAACAGGAATGATCACAGCTGAAAAATAAAGAAATAGCTTTGCGTGTGTTGAGAGCTAGACTCTACCAACAGTTTATTGAGAAAGACAAGTGCTGACAACAAAGTGCTAGAAAATTACAAGTGGAAACAAGAGCCCAAGCAGAGAGAATTCGGACTTATAATTTCACCCAGGGTAGACTCACTGACCACAGGATAGCATATGAAGTTCGTGACATTAAGGAATTTTTATGTGGAGAGAGGTCCTTGGATCAGCTAATTCAGAGACTGCTTCAATCAGCAGATGAAGAAGCCATTGTAGAACTTTTGGATGAAAACCTTAGATCAGTAAAATAAGTGCTTTTTTATTATTATTATATAAATGGAATGGTTCAAACCCCAGTACCGCCACCCACCCCACCCCACCCCCAACAAAAGGAATGGACTTCTATCAAGAAGCGGACTGAGGCACGGAAATCTTTATGAATAATCATAAAGTGATTCAGTTTTCACTGAATCAGAATCACATTTTTTGGGCTGGAGGCATAGCTCAAGTGGTAGAGTGCCTGCCTCACAAGCATGAAGCCCTGAGTTCAAATACATACTACCACCAAAAAAAGGATTTATTTTAGGTTTCATCCAACTCTCCAAGTAGAAAATAAGCTTATGATGTTGAAATCAGAACTAAAGAACTGAGAAATATTGTATAATTTAAGAAGGATCACTTGTTCTTTTATCCCCTTTTTTTAATGACCTACAGACATTTTTCATTTACTACTTCAGGAAAATGTAAATTTCATAATATAAGATTTATGAAGGGCTGAGAATGTAGCTCAGTGGTAGAACACTTTGCATATGCAAGGCCCTGAGTTCAATTCCCTGGACTTCAAAAAAATAAAAATAATATATTTATACTTATTTGCAAACTCCTTATATAAAGAAAAAGTACTCTTAACCATGTCAAAGTTTAATCATGTCAAAGTTAGGACTTAGGTTGCTACTTTCAAGCAAAATAAAAATTGTGAAGAATCTAAAAAAAAAAAAAAGAAATTGTGATATATTTACATAATGGAGTTTACTCAGCCATAAGGAATAATGCCATGTGGTTTGAAGGAAAGTGGATGCAATTGGAGGGCATCATGTTAAGTGAAATAAGCCAAATTCAGAAAGACAAAGGCCACATGTTTTCTCTTATATGTAGAAAATAGATCCAAAAGATAAATATGCACAAAAATAAACATGATCTATACAAATTCATATGTAGAACATGTTAGTAATAGTGGCAATACTCTATGTAACTCTGGGAAAAATAGAAAGAAAGTAAGAGAGAATGACAAAACACCAGTAGTATCATAAAACACAACATCTATGAAGGTGGAGCATATAAGAATGTGTATTGAAAGCTGTTGAAAAGGGGGGTAGGAGGCCAAGGTATAAGGGAGATTAATGGAAGGGGTTCAAGAGACCAAACTAAACTATACCTACAACAGGGATACATAGAGAAACCTCTGTGAACATCAACTTACATATTAATAATGAAAGACAGGACCTTAAAATAGGTACAGTGTGTGGGCAGGTACAAGTGAGAATGGGAGTGAATGAAGGAGATTAAGGTGAGAGTATATGGTGAATGGACTTCATATATTTACACAAAATAGAACAAAGAAATATCTTCCAATTGCTTTAAGTTGGGTGATATAGTTTTGGGGGAAGAGAGAATGGGGGTGATCTAACCAATGTACAATATAAGCCCAATAAGAATTGTCACTTTGAATCTTCCCTGTACAATGAATATATCCTAATAAAAATTTTATAATAAAAAATGTTGTGGGGATTTGGTTTTCCTTTCTTGTCACCATTCTGTAAAATTTAACACAGATATAATCCTATTTAGTATACCATCATCTACTTAGCATAATGAGCAAACTACATTACTGTCCTCTTCAGCAAATTCCTAATGGCATTTTTCACCTCTGTGTTTCTCACTGTGTAAATTATAGGATTAAACATGGGAGTGAGGATTGCAAAAAACACAGTCACCCACTTATCCACAGGGTAGGTAACCACAGGCTGCATGTAGGTGAATATACAGGGAACAAAAAAGAGAACAACAACTGTGAAATGGGAGCCACATGTGGAGAGGGCTTTGCGCCGTCCTTCAGATCCATGACATTTCAGGGAGTTCAGGACAACTGCATAGGAGACAAGTAACATGGAAAGAATGAGCAAGCACATAGCTCCACTGTTGGCTGCCACTACCATTCCAAGCCTATAAGTATCTCTGCAGGCAAGCTTCAACAATGGGAAGAGATCACACATGAAGTGGTCAATAACATTGGGACCACAGAAGGGTAGGTTGATCATGAAAAGAATTTGCACAGTAGCATGCAGGATCCCTCCAATCCAGGCTACCACCACCAGAAGGTAGCAGAGCCCCTGCCGCATAATTGTCATGTAGTGCAGGGGCTTGCAAATGGCCACATAGCGGTCATAGGCCATGACAATGAGGAGGATGATCTCTGAACCTCCCAGGAGGTGCTCCACGAAGAGCTGAGTCAGGCAGCCACCCAAAGAGAAAGTCCTCCTCTGGTAGAGCAGGTCAATGATCATTTTAGGGGTGGTGACACAAGTGTAGCAGCCATCTATGAATGACAAGTAAGTGAGAAAGAAGTACATGGGAGCTGACAACACAGGGCTGAGGGAGATGGTGACAACAATGAGCAGATTGGCCAGCACAGTAAATAGGAAAATGAGTAAGAAGACAAAGAAGAGTATTTTCTGCAAGTGTGGGTTCTGTGTGAGTCCCAAGAGAATAAATTCAGTCACATTGGTGGGAGGCATGTGGTGATCCATTCAGAAATTTACACATTATTGAGGCCTGAAATTCCTACTAAAAGTTAAAGAAAGAGATAATTAATCATGAATGGATGATACTCTGAATTTTACAGTATAGAAATATAGTATAGTCACTTTAACTGTGGAGCATAATCTTGGCACTCACAATTGTTTTGTCTTTATCTATGTCTGTCTCATCAGATACCTGATACTGACTAACACCTGTAAAATGTCATTAGCAGAATAGTCATTGTATAACTACAGAGATAATATTGGGATATCTCCATGAGATACATATTCTCCTTCTATTTCTAAGTCCTTGACTTTGCTAAGTCATTCCAGTGATCGATGCCTCTGAACCCTCCCTCTGTATCTGTGTACCTGCAAATTATAACTAGGAGATGTATTTTGTAAACTGTAAAGTTCTGTACAAAGGTTCAGGTTATTCTTTCTTATGTTTAAACTCACAACTTTAAGTTGTGAAAGAAAAGCATATCTACTGTAAATAAGCAGATCAGAAAAATTTCTAAATCTTTGGAGAAACACCCCACCCTCCCTGGCAATCTACCATAACACATAGGCTATTCATGTCTATTTCATCTCTGTGATGAGTACAGAGTCTGGACCAATGTCTTCAGTGTCCAGCATCTTTTAAGTTATGAACAATGTGTGATGAATTACCACACTTCCTGCATTTCCATGTGGAAAATACTCCTGCATCCCCAGTCAATGCACCAAAGAGTTCAAGTGCTCTCTTCCTCCCACTCATCATCAACACTATGTACTATATAAGAAATGCAAACAGATTTTTGAAAGAGAAGATCCATTCCAATTTAATAGTTTTTGTCATATGTTGTAGGACATGAGAATATTAATTGCCTTTAATTGCTGAGTAGTTTGGCTTTCAAGATAATTAAATGATGGCTAATTAATGTTTATTATTCAAAATTATGTTCCATATATCAATTTAACATAATTTTATTCTGAAAATTTATCTTTTCAATACACTGGGATGCAAAAATACTCTTAGATAGGTATTTCAATTAATGAAGATCTACAAAGCAAAGGAACCTCCATTTTTAAGAGTTCAAAAATAGCAATTTGATGTACAGAACAGAAAGAGACTACTAGATAAAATAAAGTACTGTACTTACATATACATGCATACAAGCATGTATAGTTAGATATGTAGATAGATAATTTACTATATATAAGTATCCATTATGTGTTTGTTGGACAATTACCTTGTATATTAATGTATGGTTTTCCATATACAGTCCATAAAAATATGTCTGTAAAAAGCCTTTAGTAATTCATCTCTTGACCTTTGATTTCCACACAGCAGGGAGATGAATTATCACCTTTACCTTTACATATTCTCAAGTCTTCTCCCATAGCATGCATCATACATCACTCTTCATTAGAGGATAGTACATTATTAATAGAATGGAGAAATTTATCTTAAATTTAAGGTCATACCTTTTTCAAAAATTGAAGAGAAAAATATAAATAAGGCAAAAATTATTTTTCTTTCAATGCAAAATGCATAAAGACCTTTATTTTATTATTTACCAAAGATGAAAATCTTATATATATGTGAAAAGGAAGTGCAGCAACTTTGTTATACTCTCTTACTCTAATGTAATTCCTAAACAGATCTGAAAAGAGCATAGTGAGTATAATTTAAGACAATACCAGTGATTTGGAAATAACTATGAAGAAATGGAACTCATTTTGTCTTTTTTCTTAGACTATACGATCTTAGTCCAAGAAATCCTAAGACAAAGTATTTTACAGAAAGAATATTATATAAAAATATTTTCAACATAATTATTAAAGGATGAGAAAACTAGAAGCTATGTGGGATGACCACATGAGAGAAATGGGTAAGAAAAATATACAACATATATTCCATAGTATGATATGTAGTTTTAAGCCAAGATTTTTTAAATTTATGTGACATAGAAAATTCTTATGTTGTAATATTAAATGGGGAATTCTGGAATGCCAATTTTGATATATTGTATGAATATCCCTAGATATTTTTACTTCTAAATTGGTGGAAATTATAATTGATTCTATGTTTATTAGTGCCTACATGCTGAAAAAGAGATTCAAACCTAGATTGGTGGGGATGAGGGACAATTGTATGATTTGTATTGGTTTATATTAATTATACATCATATATGGATTCACAATGTCATTTCATATATTCATACATGTATTCTTATCATATTCAATCCTTCATTACTCCCACTTATCCCTTTATCACTTTTTCCTTTCCCTTACACCTCATTAAATTATGATTATATGATGTTAAGGTTCATTGAATCTTGATAATATATCATTATATGATTTCCTTTTTTGAAAAAAATCTCACCTATCCACTTGTCTGACATAACTTCATGGCCAGAGTCCCAAATAGTTGTTAGTTCATAAAGAAAGAAGTAAAGTTGTGAGCATAAAATGTTTACAAGCTCAGCCATTGTAAGTCTTTGTTGATTTATAAACACTGCCTTTGGATAATGCCTTTCTCTGGAGCTCTGCCCAAACTTGCCACATACCTAGTGCAGGAGAACTTTCTTGACTGTGGCTAATTAGGCCTCGGGGGAATTTCAATACTATTAGCAGACCTTGCTTACAACCCAATTACTTCACTGTACTTAATTAAACATGAGAGGAGAAACTTCATAGCATTCATCTTTAATTGTGAACTTTTTTGTTAAGTCCACACGAAGACAAATTACTATGCCAGAGAAAGCAAAACAAAACAGTTGACTGCTAATGAATTTGGATATTTGAAGGCAATAGTACGCTTGTATAGAATCTGGATATTTTATCTTGCATAAATCAACATTTAAGTAGGTAACTGTCAATCTTTTAAACTTTTTATTAAAGTATTTTATCTTGTGCCAACACAACCTTCATTATTACCACAATTTTAAAGTATTCTTTTGGAGTATACATTAAGTGACAGTTGTAGCCCATCTTATTATTGAAGCAGTTCACAGTAAGTTTACAATATGTCTCCAAAGGAGTTGTTTCTCATCCCAATGGGATTAACATGATAATGGTGAAAATAATTACATTCTTGAATTATATTCGGAGTTGTAAAATGCATTTTTATTCATAAGTTTAATATAACAATATCCCTATGGAATAGGAAAAAAATACCAATATTCCCGCTTTACAACAGAGAAAACTAAATCAGGAAGTCAGACTATCATCTACCAAGTGAATATAAAAGCCAAACCTTCTAAATCTTGGTCAAGGGTCCTTATTTTCAGATTATTGTTTTGAAACTTATGTGTCATGGCACTTTCATGCCGTCACCAATATGAAATGTATTGGAATTATCTATTAAAAGAAGCACATACTGACATTTGAAATAATTTGCATTAAATATGGTATCAATCCTATATCAAACCTCATTCATCCAGGTTCAAATATGCTTTCTAAAATATGAGAAAAGAAAAATTATACTTAACTATGAATTGGCTTGAGAGAATGCAGTTGCTGTGAATAGCAGGTGTCATGTTAAAAACATTGATGAATATTATAGAAACACATTATGTATGTGTACAAAAATAGCACAATGAAATTAATCAACAACTGTTTAAAAGGAGGAGGGAGAAGGAAGTGTAGTTAAGAAATGCACTGGGCAAATTTGGTAAAGTACATTATATATATGGTATAAATATCACAATGAAGCTTTTGTATAATTAACCTCTGCTAATTAAAATTTGAAAATATAGAAAAGAAGAAGGAAGAAAACTGAGATCATCTGACTGAACTAAATTTGACTTAAATAGTTTAGTGTCATGATAGTATTTGTGATGGCAGGTGATAAAAGTTTGAATGAAGACTCATAGCTACCTTATTTAACTCTCATCTGTGAAATTGTTGTAAATGTGTCTTTCAGCATGGGATGATGAGATAAAGTCAGATAAGATAATGAGCATACTTAAAAAGTTTATCATGCTCAACCCAATAAAATACTAAAATTCATTATGGTGGTCCATTGACTATTCACAAAGCCTCTAATTAGCTAGAGTAAAGGTGGAGAGAGATTTTTGAAATTCTCACACCTGTCTACTTGAGTTACCCTGAGGCTGAAGTAGCATGAATTGGAAAAAGGACAAAGTTTATAGAATCAGTAATAGCTGTCCATGAAGTTCCAGAAATTTTCAAATGAAGAGTTCCTGGGACTAAAGGCAAAGTCTGTTTCCAGAATACAAGAACAAGGAGTGAGTGGACAAAAACACTGAGAAACACAGCAACAGAGATAGGTCAAACTGAAAGTGTAAGCCAGATTTTTAAAAAAAGAAATGATATGTGGATTAGATCACATTGGCAAGAAATGAGCTGAGAGGTTAGTATGACATTTCACAACTTTGCTACCTAATACAACAGAATCCAAGTACCTGTGTAAATGTTCATATAGAGAGTATTATGTTCTTCAGTGGCCAGAGGAACACTCCTCAAGGCAACCAAACACTCAAATGCAGGGCTAATATTTTACTGTAATCCAGTCCCTTCATCTCAAGTTTCATCTAAACAGTTCACAAAAATGACAAAGTTTAGCGATGCAGTAAATTGCTCACCTGTTATGTATAACCTCTCAAAACCTTTCCAACTTGATTTCTGCATGAAGCGGAAGCAAATAAAACAACACTTAAGGCAATAAGTATACTAATATAAACTGAATCACAGAACATATGCTTCTAAATGTACAAAGTAAATTGCTTATAGAAACACGATGAGTTCATTAAGATCCCGGAATTAGATGACTCGGTGTGGAAGAAACCCATGTCTCCCAATCCTGGGGCTGGGATTCTTGTTCTTCATCTTGTTTCTACAATCACGTTGTGTTTGCTCAATATTGTTACAACACAGAGTCCACCAATTTCGTCAATAAAACATGTATTACCTATGAGATGGGAGCCTGGATCTTTATGTCAAAAAACTAATCTATAAACATGATGTTCATATTTTTTTACTGTAAAAACAATAAAAGA